TAACTCAGTTATTTTTCGAAAAAAGCATATTATAGCTTATATCACTGAAAAGCTTAAAAAATGGCGCTTTTTATGAAGTTATGGCCAACTATGGTTTCCATTTAAAAAAAAACATAAGTCAAAAATAACAGGCTTTAGAAAAAAAACGGAGAACACAACCTCATTAAGAATGCGATTATCTACAACTTTTATCTGAAAACTTTTTGTCTAAAATAGACTATAATGGAATTAGGGACCATTTTTAAATTAGCCGAAATTTGTTTTTTTCGAAATATCTAGTAAGCTATGAACTTTTTCAAAAATCTGAAAGGCGCATATTTATGACCCCACAAAATTGCAATTCTTTCCCTATTTAACCGACTCTCTATCTCCAGTAGTTTCCGAGATACCCATAGAGAACATCGTAGGAAACGCACCCTGTATATACTCACAAAATTTCATTTCAATACAAATTGTCGTTCTCATTGGAGCCTCCGCGGTAGTGATGGGCAAAACTGTTATTTTTAGATAACAGTTGAAACTGTTATAGTTATTTATAAAAAACAGCTTAAAATAACAGCTTAAAATAACAGCTTAAAAATAACAGGTTTCTTTATTTTACTGCTAAATATCTGAAAGAGTATGAGGCGGTCACCGCCAGGCGTATTAACGCAGTTGCAAGTTGCAACAATGACGTGCTCGCTGGTAGTATTTCCAGGGTGTCAAAACATTTCTAAATATCGATTGTTATCTAAAATACCTCTCTAAAAACGGTGGTTGTTTACAAATAAGCGCTGTTTACAAATTGCGATATAAAAAAAGCCAAAATTCCGCCACTCGTCTAGACCTATACATTCCGATCTACCTACGCCCTGCCCCTCGATCCGCGTAGATCTTGAATTGCGTAGCAGTGTACAGGGTGCATCTCACTCGACGGGCGAGAAGCTCTTAGTTATGATTTTACCATTTGCGGTCAAAAAATAGCCATATAAGAAAATGTGTAGTATATTCTTCATAAGTAAACCATCTAGACACTAGAGTTCGAATTAATTTTACACTTAAACTAACGTGTACCCGCGACTTCGTCCGCGTCGAATTAATCATTTCTAATGGTGATGATAAAGCAAAACAAGAATTTCCATTAACATACAAACTGGATAAACTTTTCTCACATTTGCCAAAAATAAGCTTTCTAACGTCGAGCAGTTTAAGCAGAATCGTGGTTAATCAATTACTCAACTTTTTGGAACACCCTGTATGATTTTTTTAAAAATTTCAGAATATGTAAAAAAACAAAATAAATTATGCGTGTCCAGGCGTTTTCCCGAAAGACTAACCATTTTTTAAATAACAAATATTGTAATATTTGAGAGGCGTTTTCACCCTGTTGGAATTTGAGATTTGAGAAACCCCTCCTTATCGAACCTCAACCCCACAGTCAATCCGTTTACCAAAAATCAGCTTTAAACGTCAAGCAGTTTAAGCAGAATAGTGATTACTCAATGGTCATATTTTATGAAACACCCTGTATATATTTTTAAAAAATCTTAAAATATGTAAAACAACATAATAAAATATACGTGTTTTTTTGTTAGTTTTTCCGAAAAACTCACCGGTTTTTAAATAAAAAATATTCTAATATTTGAGAGTAGTTTCACCCCCTTAGAATTCGAGTTTCGAAAAATCCCTTCTTAGCGAACCTCTACACACTAAAGTCAATCCGTTTTCCAAAAATCAGCTTTTTTTTTTTTTTTACGTCAAGGGCTTTAAGCAGGATCGTGATTAATCAATGACCAGATTTTTCAAAACACCCTGTATACATTTTTAAAAAATCTTAAAATATTATTCTGAAAATTTTTCCGAATAAATAAATACCTAAATATTGAAACTTAATAAGTACTGAAACATACAGCGCCATAATATCTACACCACCGCCCGTTATGCTCGTAACAGGTTGAAACAGAATCTATCTAAAACAACTGATGCGTTATTCTCCAACCTGTTTCGAACCTCCATCGACAATCGACCGATGCAGCAGCGTTCCTTTCCCACTCCGATTATCTCGACCACCGCCCTGTTATGCTCGTAGCAGGTTGAAAAACAACGTATCTAAAATGACTGCTTCTCCAACCCGTTGCGAGCCTCCATCGACAATCGACCGATGCAGCAGCGTTCCTTTCCAACTCCTGTTATCTCGAGCGCCAGGCGTTATGCCCGCAACTGTTTCAAAAAACCTGCTTCTTTTATATCCTATTATTTTTAAGCTGTTGCAAACCCAATACGACCATCAACGGTATCGACCGAAGCAGCTACGTTCGCCGTAGCGCTTTCCCCACTCCGTTGTCCGTTGTCTCGCCGCCTGTATCGATGGTTGACGAAATAACATGTTTTCCATCCATACTAGTTGTTTTTTGGAATTGCTGAATTGCTTCGAGCAGCATAGAATTTCGGCGGTGCAGAGCGCCGACTTCGTTTTTCGTTTCACGAGCGGCCGATCTCTACGTGTCGTTATTTTATATCTGTTATTTTTTAGAAGTAGTAACGGTTGCGTTATGTTATTTATAAATAATTGTTATAAAATAACAGATAGTTAAATAACATTTAAATACAATATTTAAGCTATTAGAATAAAGCGCAAAAATGTGAAAAGTTTGAAAAAAATAAAACACCCTGTATTTTTTGCTTCAATTCTCCAAGGGTATCAAAGTTTTTAATACTCAATATTTACCGAAGTTTATTTATTGATCAGATATTGTGTTGCAATAATAAACAAAATACTATATGTCTAAATACTAGAGGGTCTAAAAATTTATATTTAATAATTACTAGCTTTGAACGGCTTTAATCATTTGTTTAATTTAAATAGAACACCCGGTATATTTTACGAGAATCAGGCGCAGAATTAAATTGTCTATCAAATTGTATTTTACCATTTTTTACCTCTCTTCAAGTTTTCCCAGAAAATGCATTTTCTTATAATTTAGACCTCAATATATCACTATACCCATGGAATATTGACATTTTAGATTATTTTTAAAGATGTAACAAATTTTAGTAATAGCTTCCTCATTTCATTAAAAATTAAAAAAAATGTTTACAATGTTTCAATACTTTTTGTTATAGAGGACCAATTAATATGATCCCACTATTCAAACTACATTAATTGACTGTTTACGTTGATTAATAATAATTGCTCTAAATATTAAAAAACTGAAATTTGTATGTGTATTAGACAGTGTGGTAAAATGTAACACCTTATAAATTTTATTTGATATTTTGACAAATGCTGATGTATAACAACAAAGACGTTCTTCTTCTTCTTCTTTTTTTATGATGGAACAAAGACGTTCATTTTCATAACCTATTATTATATTGATTTCTTTGTCAGATCCACATTTATTTAGAATAATTTATTAATTAAAAAATAAATTAAGTATGTAATTAACTATTTTTGGACGGAAATAATGGTGGAATATTTAATTGGTATACTCTTTTAGAAAGATTTAAATAGTTTTCTTCTTGTAAACATATGGGCTTGCAATATTATTATTTTTACCACCTGTACATTATGTACATATGTTGCTTTAAAAAAATCTAAAATATCAATATTCCATGCATATAGTGATAAATTAGGTCTAAATTAGAAGAAAATGCATTTTCTACGAAAACTTGAAGAGATAGGTAACAACTGGTAAAATATAATTTGATAGATATTTAATTCTGCATCTGATTCATGTAAAATATACAGGGTGTTCTATTTAAATTAAACAAGTTTTTGCCTTTTAAAGCTAGTAATTATTTAATATAAATTTTTGGACACTCTATATAAGGTAGTATAATTCTTATTATTGCAACGCAATATCTGATCAATATACAATCTTCAGTAAATATTTAGTCTTAAAAACTTTGATACCCTTGGAGAAATAAAGCATTAAATTTTTTACTGCAATTTCACAAAATTGAAAGTATTTCAAAAACTTAAGGTTTAAGTGTGATAAACCTTAATTAATAATAAACCAAAATTAGCATTATTTCAATCTTAAAATCTAAAAATAGAATAATATACAGGGTGTTCCATTTAAAAAAATACAACTATAATATTTTTTACTTATTTGGGACACTCTGTATCTTGTAAAATTATTTTTAAATTGTAGCTCTAATGGTACTTTTGTAAAAATCTAATCGTTTAGCTACAATACTCCGTGTCGTATGTGGTGAACAACACTGTATATATGCTAGACTCATATGCCGAATTCGCCCATTGAGCGAAATAAATACATCCACAAAGCTGCACAAAAGAGTTTTGATTGCATTGGTTTCAACTTCTATGCTGAGGGGGTTAATATTCTGTTTTTATATTATATAAAAAAAATAATCCCATCCGCAAAGAAGTTATATAATATAATAGTATATTAAACAACGAGTTTCGAAAACGACGTTTTGCACACGAGTTCGACAGTTTGTTGGCTCGAGCCGCAGGCAAGAGCCACAAGTCGAACGAGTGTACAAAGAAGTTTTCGAACGAGTTTTTTACGCTATTTTTTCTACGACTACAAATTAGCAACAGACTCACTCAGTTTTTGCCAGTTTTGTGGAATAATTTTCGATGTAATGATGACACTTTTCTGACGGCTGCGTTGCGTTTGGCGTTTCAGCTAAACATTGGAGGTTAAAAATGTTAAAATTGGCACATGTCGTTTGCAAAATGACACATGTCGTGCGCTAAATTCTTAGCACACAACAGTTTGCAAAACGCCAATTTCAGATCGAGTTTTCCGTGTGTCAAACTGCATTTTCTAAGCTAGTCGTAGAAAAGGACTCTTTATAGCCACAAAGTTGCACGAAAGAGTTTTGATTGCATCATAAATGCAAGCATTTAATCATATCGCGAAATGAGTATTTAGTTCGCCTAACATACCAAATCTCGTTTTTTTTTATCTGAAAAAATAAAAATGTTAAAGGGGTGAGCCACTTTTGAGACGCACACGGTATATGCTTTATAAAGTATATTTATTTTTCAGATTTTTTTGCACAATCCGGTCGAAACACCTGGAAAGAAATACTTTAGAGCTGCTCTAAACGAAGAACTTTTGGTAGCTGTTAAGCCGGACATGATGACCACATCTAAAGTTTTGGAGACGTATGAAGCTCATAGAAGGCAATGTTATTTTCCAGAAGAGAGAAATCTGTCCTTCTTTCAAAGTTATACTCAAGATAATTGCAAACTTGAATGTGATGCAAATTTTATTTTGAAAAAATGTAATTGTGTTGCTTATTTTATGCCACGTAAGTACGAGTATATACAAGTACATTTTTTTATTTTATTAAATACAAAATTAATCATATTTAATGACTTAGGGTGGCTGCAACGAAGCTGGTTTTTATCAAGCGAAACCTTCGGTCGGAGTTTATATGTATAGGAGTGAATTGCTATGGCATTCTAGTAAGTCGGAGAGAGCAAAAATACGAAGTATTTATTACATAATCACTTAATTTGAGGCTAGATTCCATGCGCTTTGAAAAATACTTGCCTTCTGTCTTTATTCAGTACTTCTTATTTTAATAAACTTGTTGACCGTACTCTTCGTACACACGAAAATTGGCACCCAGGACCAGAAATGTCGACCCATAGTATAAAAACCAATTGTTATGTTTTAACAGCAGGATTACGGGACGTCGCACAGTGGGCAAAAATCCAGAAGTATGTTGCAAAAATTCTTTTATTGTACGATTTCATTCAAATTTGGTAAAAACATTCTATGCCAGTAGCCCGTGAACCCAGTTAGTTTTGGCTGACTTGAGATTGGCTGGGAGTGGTGGGGGGATTCATAAAATGGAAAAATCATCTTTTGACTAATACAGCTACCAAAATGCGGAAAGAATATGTAAAACTTGGAAAATAAGTTGGTTATAATAATGGTTTTATAATTCGCAAACTCTCTATTTATTTATCTAGTAATGCTAAAACACTCTATTTTAAAATCGATTAGAGAAAATAGTATGATTCATTGGCAAGTAATGTAAACACTTACGATCAGGTAAAATTGTGATGTAAGAGGAGGCTTAGCTTGCCTACGGCGGTTCAGTAGTAGACTGGCCAGCCGGTTGTTGTGTTGTGTTTTGTCATAGAGCTGATATTTGGGGGTTGAGAGTCTTTTGACTATAAACGTTGCAAGTACTGTAAGGCAACGGGTCGTTTGACCGGAAGAAAACCTCTGGTGACGTCTTTCCTTCGAGGTTGGTCTTGAGAGTTTGAGGTCTCCCTTGTCTTCTCGATTGACACGATGCGGCGTTGAGGTAGAGAGACTAGTGAGGTACCCCAATTAGCTTATTCGATTGGGTGCGAATCTGTTTAGCGGCAGAGTTGCGTCCGGGGGAAGCCCCTATACTATTTCAGGTGACACTAGCTAGTTGTTGAAGATGATTAACCAATATATAACCGAATGATATTTGAATTAGATGGAAAATGTGGAATGGGATATATTTAATAGAATATATCAGTGGCTAGGGGGCGGAGTACCCCCGGGTGAGTCTTACTATTTAACTATCAATTTTATCCAGATCAGTAAATGTTTGTTTTGTTATTTTCATGTACAATGAGAGAGTGATTGCCAATGACCAACTAAATGGATATTTGAAGTGAATTTGCATTGTGAGACCCGGTTGAGTAAGCTCCAGAAAATAGCGATTTTACAAATATTTTACATTTCACTAAATTTTACGATTTTTGGCAGAGCCAAGATGAAACAGACAAATATTGAGCAATTATTACTCCTCCGGCATATACAGGGTTTGTTAGGTTAGGTATATATATATTGACATCCTCTGTATCTTTTTTATTAGACGTTTTCGAAAAAAGTGTCTTGAATAAAAGTTTAATGGTCTGGAATACATTTTTCAAAACAGTCTTCTTTGCATATACCGGGTGCCTTAGAAATCCTGTGCGTGGCCCAACTTTCTTATTTAAAATTAGTACCCAATTTTTTATTTATTTTTTTTATTTTCTTCTAAAAATCCTAACTACTTTTATGTAGCATATCCCATACCTAATTTGAAATAAGATAGTTGAACCACGCCCAGATTTTTTGAAGCACTTTGGATATGCGAAATATACTTTTTTGGCAAATTTATTCAAAACCACTTTCATTTGAGACAGTTTTCGGAAACGTCAAATAAAAAAGATAAAGGGGGTGTCAATGTATAAAAGAAAACCCTAAGTATACTAATCCAGTCGAACTTTTATTCAAGATGGTTTGTCATTGTCATTCGTATAAGTTGGGTCTCTAATAATACCAGACAATATGTGAACAATATTTTATTATTATATTTTAAATAAGTAACAATATTCTGAGACTTAAACAATGACGATTTCGAAAATAACATAACTTATACCTATTAAAAATATCTAAATTTTATTTTACCACCTACTATTTACTGATATTTTGTTTTATAACAGCTGGAAGCAATGGTCACGAGGTGCACATTTATAAATCTGAAAGAAAAATCCATTTCATTTAATTTAAAAAATTAGGTACTGTCAAAATTTGTCAATTTGTCAAAAAATGTCATTTGACATTTATGACATACCTCTTCGGAAATCTTGAGAAAAATTACGTAACTTTATATTTCAAGTTCTTCTCTAGCTACTATAACAATTAATTATTATTTTTTTATATTTAAGTATCCACATAAAGGATCTTACTATACACATACGCATGGAGACATACGCTTCCAATAAGTTTAAAGTTGCGCTTTTTTGCGATTTTTTTGACTTAACTTTTCTAAGATAGAATATATGCCACTATCAAAAAAACCTTAAATGATTATGTTCTACTTTAACCTTTACCTAGTTTTTATCCAAAAAATCAAAATAAAAGATCCTTTTTTACTTACCTTGACATTAAATTTACCGCAACCGGGAATCTACGTAAAACACATTATGACAATTTCACAATAATTATTGACAGCAAGCTAAGGTCGTCCGATTCAATTGTTATAATACTGTGTCACTTGAATGCAATGCCTACTATTTAAAAAATTGTAGAAAAAAGGCAGTTATTGGACACAAATTAACTGAAAATGTAGGTTTTGCGCAAAGTTCGTTTTACAGCCCCTCGAAAGAGACTCCGAATAAGGTTTTTTGTTAGTTTTATGTGGTTTCCTCTTAACTAATATGTTTCCAATCTAATGTTATTTCCATAAATGCTAACTGTGGATGTTATTTTTTGCAACTTGGTTTGGACATATTGCCTACTGTGCGTCGGCATCGTTGGAACCACCCTTAGTAAGATACCCCTTTTTAACGTGGCATGTTTGAAGTTTCCTATAACTAAAACTTTTAGAAAACTATTTATTGTATGACCTAGTAGCAAATGAATTGGGTAAAAGTATTATTTTATATTTTTAGAAATATAAAATTTAAAAAATAAATATAATAACATAATGCAAATATTGTTTTAGATGAAGAAAATACTCCTATATGTGGACCGGGAAGCCACGCGTGTATGTTTGAAGCTCAATGTAAGTTAATTCATTTTCTTTGAAATATTAAAAATATATTTAAAACATGTGTGTTTACCAAGATTTACTTCCAATATAGATATTTAGTTCATAAAACAAATAAATAAATTTTGTGTCCACTTTTACTTTTGCTTTTTCTTTCATAATATAAGTATATGGTTCGGTTTTTGAAATGTTTTTTTAGAAATATTACAGTAATTCATTTTATTTGCTTTGCAGATGAACTTCTACGTCTCAAAGTTTCACTAGAACTGAACAACGGACAAGAGAACTCAAACTTCGCTTCAGAATGTGACTGTTTACCGAGCTGCACATCCCTGATTTACAATGCTGAGACTTCTCAAACTCAATTCAACTGGCAAAAATGGTTGGAGTCCAGCAAATTTGACATCAATGAATTCGAGCCCGGCATTCAGATGACCAGAGTTGATATTTTTTTCAAGGAACAACAGTTTATTACTTCGGAAAGGACGGGTGTTGGTGCGAGTAACGAGTTGTATGGTATTACCGATTTTCTTGCCAACTGCGGCGGTATTTTGGGTCTTTTCACTGGTTTTTCTTTCTTATCGATAGTGGAAATTGTTTATTTCTTGTCGCTGAGGTTGATTTGTAACGTTAAGAAGCACGGATTGCATTATTGGTCTGGATCTCCCGATTTAGTTAATAACGATATATGCATCCATAAGAAATAATTTCATAATAACATTATAATTCACTTATCGTTATTTTTTGTAAATGAATGGCTATAGGGTAGAACATACAGGGTGGCGCATCGTACGACGCGGAGGCTACGAGAAGAACGGTATATCTAAATGAATTTTGGGAGCTAAAAATATATGTTTTACAGAGTGTAAAGTTACGCATAATAAGTTACGCATAAAAGTTATTACTTTTATAATAGATCACCCTATATATTAATTGATTTTTGGACTCTAGGAAAAAATAGAGGTCAGTGTCATTAAAGAAGCATATGTCTAAAATGTAAAGTTTTGGAGATATTTCACGTTTTGTGAAAATGAAGTAATTTAGCCTATAAATAGCCCTATTATGGTAATTCACCCTTATAACCTGATATTTAGTTAAAATAACCATTGTATGATAAATCAAATTAAAATTTAACCCGAAAAGTTATACAGGGTGAGACAAATTTAATATTGAACATTGGTCAATTTAGACATTACACACCTATATCGATCTGTTTTACTGCCTATCCTTACACAATTGTAATAGATATAATTAATATTTTTCACAAATTAGGTATCTGCACTAAAAACTTTTATTTCTCCATAACTCAAATTATACTCAATAGAATTGCAAAAATGACATAAACTGATATATGGTATTTTCCCAATTTTGTCATGTATGTTACATATGTAAAAAAGTTTAATAAATAAAACAAATTAAATGTATCAATCTGGAAATTTGTTTCATTTATCCATATCTGATGAGCAGCCACGAGGTTTTATAAAAGCCGGCGCACAGTGGGCCAGGAAGTAACTAGGAGTTTGACTAATTCAATTTCTTTTTGTATGTCAACAACTTTTATCTAAATATGTATTAAAAAATGAATAAATACAATTTTTACGAACATCGGACTTTAATAAACTATAATTGTTGCTATACAGGGTACTCCCTAAATACCCTATGCAGGGTATAACTTTATTAACAAAATGAAAGGCGCGAATCCTCACTTAATTTTAAAATGAAGATGTAGGATAACATTTTTTCGAATTTCTCTTCTGTTTTGGTATACAGAGTGTCAATGATAACTAATTAAATGGATTTGTATATAATCAGAGAATATGTAACAGAGAGTTTTTTTTCTTGAAGATGAGGCAAGGTGCTAAAAAAGTTAAGAGGCAATAAATTTCACGGCTAACCGAAAAGGCCAACCACAAAGTTAACTTATTTTTAATAAATAGATCCAGCTATTCAGAATCACTGCTACTGTCATTATTGTCGTTGAAAGATGATGGATGTGGATCAAATGATTTTAGTAAATTTAGAGCTTCGGGAACAAGCTTTTTCTTTTTGGATAACTTAAGTTTTCTTAAACTTGTAATTAGTGGATTAGAAGAAATTAATAAATTATGAAATACATCTGTATTAGTCTCGATTCTGCTCATTTTTCTTGAATGACATTCCCTGTATCGTCTGTACTCCTTATTTCGAGCTTCTTGAGCTTCCTCCGATAATTGTCCGATGGGTACAGGAGACGATTTTATGATATCCCCCCATGAATAAGAATTTTATGTATAGTGACAGGCATTTTGTACCACGGATAAAGAAATACAAATTGCTTGCCAGTTTCTAAGGAGTATGATTTAAAATTATTAATGTCAATGCTGAATCCGCTGGTAATAACTTGTAGGATCACAAAGAATCGATATATTAAATTTTGATCCAAACCTGTTATTTCGGCAGATATTGTAAAATTTTGGAAAAATTTGCGCGCGGTATTACCGTCATTACTTGTACCAACACCTTGTTTCACTACATCTACAATTATGCCTAAACGATTTCTAAACTCTTTTTAAATTCTTTGCTTTTCGTTTTGACTTCGGTTACTCGGTTTGAATTATTTAAAAATTATTTTTTTAAAATGGAGCAGCTGGGAGCAAGATTTTGTTTTGCAGAAAACATTATAAGATGTTTCTTAAATACACGGTAGTAACAGTGGCCCTAAAGGATGCTAAAATTTTAACATATTGCTTAATAAAATTAAAAAACCCTTTATTTGGCAATTTTTTTTGGTGTTACTTAAAATGTAGGATTTCTTTAGGATAGTTGTGTTTCAGAGTAACCTTATCAGCATAAAATTAATATGAAAACTTCCCTTCCCTGGTTTCTTGCATGTTTACTTTGGTAAAAAAACAATTTCTTTGAAAAACAGCTCCAGTTTTAACAGGCAAAATTCTATAAATTGAACAACACAAAATGACGCGTCAACAAACTTAACAAAATTATTGTTGATACTCGCACCATTACAACGGAGCGAGTTCATTTGATTGTTTTCTGATGCTTCATGGTATACTTAATCAGTCTGCGATAAGAAAGAAAAAAATTCGACGAAATAAGTTCTGGGTCCATTTCAATCGCTAAGGCTATCTCTGGCCCACTGTGCGGCGCCCCTGCGCACAAATGTATTAGTTGGTTTATACCAAGGTTTAGGTAAGGCGCCCATTGGGACGCATGCCACGCAACCCATGCAAGGCATTTCTCGAGGCGACCCACGCAAGTTGACCGTGTGCTGTGCCAGAAGCGCATATAGCTGCACAAGCCAGACGCTCACATGCACAAATCTTATTAGATTATTTCTTAGGTTTAGTTTGTTTATGGAAAAGGCAAAGTGCACAATGTCGGCAGTTTCTGAAATAGAATATTTACTAGATTTTAGTTCTGAGTCAGATTCGGAGGAATAGTGAGAAACAGAAATTCTGCTATACGATGTGAAAAACGCCGAAAATATTTTTGAATGAGCAATTACATGAAAAAACGACGAACTCATGGGGAATTCGTTTTGACATCTGAATTGTCGGATGCGGAGTTTGGTTTGGTTTGGTTTGGAACTACTTCCGGTTAAATAGAGAGCACTTTTCTGAAGTGCACAGCATTATAGAACCTATTATTTTTTCCTGCATCTTGAAAACTGCATGTAAATATGCCGCACGCACAAGGAAATCTGTCTCGACTACAAAGTGACGCACGACGAATTCAACACATTCGTGGCCTGTGTTGCGCTGCGTCTCAATTTGCGGACAGGTATTAGCTTGCTTGTGTTGCAAAAATTTCCCTTGCGCTGTCTTGCGTGGGTTGCGTGGCATTCGTCACAATGTGCGCCTTGCTTTAGGTAAGTCTGTCCGCAAATTGAGTAGTGATGGGATAACTCAAGCGAAAATTCACTCGAGTACTCGATTATTGAAATAACCGACATCGCTCGTGACATCAAGTGACGAGTACCAAGCGACGAACGCAAGCGATCCTAGAATGAAATAAATTGAAATCCGATTTTAAAGTGACCTACTCGATAAAAAGCCGAGCGAATTTTCTACATACATTGCAGGTAGCAAATTTATATGACGCCGTATATACCGGGTGCGTCTCAAAAGTGGCTCACCCCTATTAATAGTAATACTTTTTTATTTTTTTAGATAAAAAAAATGAGATTTGGTATGTTAGTATATGACATAAATTAGGATTGATTGACGTATTCAATTGTTTTCTGTCACTTCCTGTTTCACCGGAAATGACTACAATTTTTGATTTTTAAATGGCACCCCGGTATTTTTACTTTATTCGATAGAAAATGACATTCTAAATAGAATGACGTATCATATGTCAACTTTTGACATATTCGCTTAAAAACAAATTGTATTTTAAATTTCAATCTAGAGTGCCATGGCTGTGTTAAAAACACAAATTTTTAATCAATGAGCCTTGGAAAAATAGATTTGATCGTCTAATGTTTTTAGTGTCTTGCCCTGGCCGCTTAAAAGATGCCCAAATCGTATTTTTGATCATATCTCAATTTTTTTCAGATGGAACGAGGGTGGATCATTAGCATATTTCGAAAAAGATTTTTTTTACGAATAATTTGGTCACTTGGTACTTCGAGTCAAATTGTCGTTATGAACCGCATGTTACAATTTCAAATAAACCATATGCGAAAAGGTTAAAAGTTGACATGTGATATGTCATTCTATTCAGAGTGTCATTTTCTACCAAATAAAGTAAAAAAATACCGAGGGTGCGATTTAAAAATCAAAAGTTGCAGTCATTTCCGGTGAAACCTTGTGCGTCCGGCACATCCTTGTGCGTTCGGCACATTTACATGCAGTTTTCAAGATGCAAGAAAGAATAATAGAGGCTGTTCGGAACTTTCCAGTGCTGTATGACACTAACCACACTTCATACGGCATTTTTTCATGTAATTGCTTATCCAAAAAGATATTCGGCGTTTTTTCACATCGTATAGCAGAACTTCTGTTTCCCACTGTTTCCCCCCGAATTTGACTCAGAACCCTGCTCAGAACTAAGATCTAGTAAATATTCTATTTCAGAAACTGCCGACACTGTGCATTTTGCCTTTTCCAGAAACAAACTAAACCTAAGAAATAATCTAATAAGATTTGTGCGTGGGAGTGTATGGCTTGTGCAGCCATATGCACTTCTGACACAGCCCACGGTCAACTTTTGTGGGTTGCATCCAGAAATGCCTTGCGGGTGTTGTGTGGCATGCGTTCCAATGTGCGCCTTACCTTATACTTGTTTATAGTATTCAGCATTCCAATAAACAATATTATAAGCATATTAAATAAGCAGAGTTTGTCACTCTTTATAGGAACATATTTAAATTAAACTGATTTTTTTTTTCAGAGAGAAATTTGCAATTTTTAATTTTATTTTTTCTTTTTCTGGAAAGATTTAAACCAACTTTTCCTGTTAATTTTTGGATGACATTTTCTTCTTTATTGACCTTTCGTTGAACTAGTCATATCATTAATATAAACACAGGTATAATATATACAGGAAGTTTAAAAAATATACAGATATATTGGCTGCACTATTTTCTTCGTGCAGGACAACCGCCGGATGATGACCTGGGAGGTCGTTTTTCTTGAACTGTCGTAAGCGTTCTTTGTACTGTTCTCTCGCTCATAGGTGTTCCTGATGAGGTAGCCTGAGCACCGCCATAGCCCGCACCATATGCCGAGCCTGTGCTATATGCCGCCGCGCCTATACTAGAAGCCCCAGGTTGACTCAAAGAGGCAGGCTGAAATAAATATTACTAGAATTAGAACGAAGATTAGTAATATAAATAAAAGTAAATATAAACAAATGTAAAAAGAGATAATAGTGTTGTATTCCTTCTAGTTTACTGTTCCTGTTGCTCTATGTCTTGGAAATTTGTTGTTAGATGATCCGAGAATTACCAGTGGTTTCAAATTTATTTTGTTATCGTAAAAATAAAAAGTATGAATTTAGTTTGGACAAAATAACTTACAAATCTGGATCCACATGGTTCATCTCGTTGTGCAGCTAATCGAGACTGTCTTCTCTCGCGTCTTTTTGCGTCTATTTTTGCAGTTTCCGCCCTTATTAATGATTGGGTAGCCTCAGCTTCCAGTTCCATCGCCGTTTTCGGGCTCCATTCAACTTTCTTCTTGTGATGAGCTTTTCCTGAAAGATATAAAAACTCCAGTTTATTTTTTACGGACCATTTAACTGACTGATATATTAATACTACTGACAGTTTATTATTTTCCCGATCATTTATTATCATACTAATCAACTGAAATAAAATAATAGAAAAGTGTACAGGGTGGGTCAAATTGGACGTTTTTAAAGGAAAACACCTTTTTCTTTAGGTGCATTTCAGTTGATTTCAACAAATTCCCACCGCAGCACTTCAGCGGAAAAAATCTGAAATTATCAATATATAGATCACGCCGCCGTCATGGTGATCGCATTAAAATAATATTGAAATCGTGGCTTTGTCGTAATATTTAAGTATTTTTTATTTTTGCTAGTGCAGTTATTGGAACTATAAAACACTCAGGTACGAGATTTGTGTGATGTAACTCTGTTTCGGGTAGGGCCATTTCGCACCACCACAGTTCAATCTAGGACAGTCATGAGAAAAACAAATGCGGGAACGAAAGTTGTTTTCACACAAAACACGTCGTGTACACTCCAGTCGCGTCCAAATAAGTCAAGACTGATAGTGATTCGTTCGGTCGAATGTTTATACCAGTCATTTGCGTCATAATATATTGCTTAGTAAGAAAAATAAATCTGGTCCCATTCGAAAAAAATTGTAAAATTTCTTGGCATCATCGGAAAATAATTTGACTAAAACATACGAAAACAAGTCTTCTATTATGAATGGGATGTATCCAAAATAAATTTCTCCTTCGCCTTCTTCTTTTTTCTAATCGACGTAAAATTATTACTCTAAGAATCTCGTCCATTGTCAAAGCGTTCTGTTGTTAAACTGCTTATTTTTGCTGAAAACACGTTAAAAAAATGTCATCAACAAACGTCGGACGCTCATCATACCGATTTGACCAAAAGCAAAAATGAATCAAGTAGTTTGACGAAACAAGTGAGTAAACAAAGTGCTCGTTACATGGTCAAAAAATTAAATATGTAGATATTATATGAGACGATGTAGATACTATGAGACGATAAAATATAATTTGCAATACTAATGGTATACTTTTTTTAATAAACTAGTGATTAAATGTTTTATGAACATCTTCAGAAATTATAATTATGTACCTTTGAAAAATTTTGTTAAGCCGAAATAGCCCCAATTATGCCCCACTAGGAAAACAGGCGATTAAAAGATAAAGACAAATATTTACTTTTTTATTTTTATTTTTAGAATTTTCACAAATTAAACTTCCTAACACTTTTAGAATAATTATTAAATAATAAAATTGTCGTATACTCGCCATTTAAACCAGTATATTTGTATATATCGATTGTTTACGATATTCTCCGATGGTGGCAGCACCGGTGGAGAATGCGCCAAGCCTATAGGAGTGTTCAATTTTTATCAAAGACATGATGGTGAAAACCGCACATCGCTGTATTTTTGGAAAGGTAATTTTAAGTTCTTTTCATTTAATTAAAAATATACAGGGTGTCCCAAATAAAAAAATATTCTGTTGATAACTCTTAAATTATTAATTTGTAAAAAAATATACTTAAACCATTACATTCTACGTAAACTCCGAAACGGTAACAGATATTGATGTACATTTCACCATCATGTTTTTGATAAAAATTGAGCTCCAGACACCAATAATAATTTTCGTCTGTCTCCTATAGAAAAGGGCGTTCCCCTTTAATTTTGACCCAACCTGTACAGAGTGTCCCATTTTCGCCTCTATGTTTGACATTTTATGAAACTAAAGATGCTACACGATTTGTTCAAGCTCTCTTAGTTCCTGAAATACAGGGCGAACTTGAAATTGTTGCATTTGTCAACTCTCTTCATATCTCGGTTATCTTATAATTTCTCTGAGTTTTTGAAACTGGGTCTCATAGAGGTATTCACGTATTCATAGAGGTATTCAGTGGCGTAGCTAGTTTATAGCTGGAAGCTGTCATTCTTGAAATATGACCCAAACTTTTGTTTTTTTTTAAATGATATGTCCTGTATATTATTTTGTTATTTTATTTGCCTTGTTTTCTAGTTTCCTATAACTATTATATACCGTGTGGTGCATTGGAACACGGGACATAGGAAATCTCATGTAAATTTTGAAAAGGTCAAAATTATCTCCCCAGATAATTTTATGCAAAAGTTGTATTAGACTTTTTTGAAGAGGCGTTAAAGTTGTACTGTAGTCTAGTATTTCGTTTCATTTAGAATAGGCATCTAAAAAGTATTACCACAGATTAGGTATCCTATAAGTATACAGATAAAATCTTGTCCCTAATTCGTGGTACGAAAATTGTTTTTTATGACGATGTGCAAACGAGTAAAATTTCCTGTGCGCAAAAATAAACTCGCGTAAAATAACATTAAACAGTGTAATAGAGAGATATCGCTAAACCGAATCGCGTGCATGGACGTTAATAAGGTCAGGTGTTATTTCCTTTACGTGAGGTGGTATTAACTCTCTTCATTTATAGTTATCGGATCGGAAAGAATTCTGTTCGCGTCGCGTCCGCTATTTAAACTTAACCTAACTTTGAATTTAAAACTTTGAAATTGTTTTGTTTACTAGGTATTTTAAAACTAAAAGGCTAAAGTGCTTATTTCCAGTGCTTTATTGTTCAACGTCTGCCAGCGGGTTTAGGGCAACAAGCAACAAATTCTCTTAGAAGGGCTAAGTCGTCATCTGCTGTAAACCTAAGCCTCTTTATAGGTTCTTTAATATTGGAAGAGGTGGAATCCATATTTTGGGCCATATTTATTTAATTAAAACTAATACCAGTTACTTAAATATCAAATTACCTAATAAAACTAAAGTAATAATTCAAAACAATTCAAACATAACCTAAAATAAAAGATCTCGCCGGCCGGCCCCGGTTGTCAAATACCCGCACAGGCCCATTTAAGCAATTTTTAAACGTTATTTAGAAATAGCGCTTGGTGTAATTGATGCAAATTACGTCAGGCGGTAACGTTATTAGCGGGTGTTGCGTTAAAAATTGACTCGCGCATATCGTAACCATGATAAGGTACGCGTAAATACTGCATGGTGCTATTCGGTTTTCCGATATCTCTCTAATAACTGTGCCGGTCAGGCGCTGTGCACAGTGTTGTTACAATAGGTACAATTGTACTATTTTGGGTACATTTGATAGTCAAGGAGTACATAGGTACAATTGCAAGAAAAAATGTACAATTCTTACTTCTCAAACTCAAACTAACCCAAACTTAAACCCACGTATATATTTTTAGACGAACGGTGATACGCGATTTGAAATGCAGTTTGCTAGGAGCAGAGGCACAGAATTATACATTACTTGAAATGCTGTTCAAGCCGCACGGATGTCAAACGTAAGTTTGATATCCATGCGGTGAGTAGGAGGGGGGCTAATCACTGCGACCTTAGAGATCTATTGTGTCCCGATGTCAAACGTGACGTCACGCAATTAGTTCCCATTTAACCAATGCTATTCAAAGCTCTTTGTAGCTTCTGTATTGCTGTCCTCCATTTGCGAATTTCAAGTTCCAGGGCTTATGGAGGCAGTTCTGAACTTTATGACTCAATTGAATGGAGAGAGAGTATCGCGTTCTTGAACAGTTCCTAGAGCTGCTCAACTGCGTGAAAGGAGGACAGCATATGGTGTATAATTCTGTGAGGGTGCATCCACATTATCCTAAAAAAAAGCGGATCGGCGGCGGTGTATCGGCGTAACGACCTTGAATCGATTTCCAGCAATTCTATTGGCTGAAAAATTCATCTGTCAGAAATTTTATCTGTCAAATTCACCTGGCAAAAATTTCAGCCAATAGAATTGCAGGACATCGATTCAAGGTCGTTAAGCCAATAAGCCGTTCCGCTGTTTTTAGGATAGTGTGGATGCACCCTACGTACCAAAACTTGGTAAAAAGGTAAATAGAGAGATCACATGACCCCACATTTTTGCACCAAAAATGTACAATCCCACTTAAAAAAGTACAATTTCGACACCATTTATAGTACAAAAATTTTTGCCCTTGTAACAACGCTGGCTGTGCATAATTTTACAGGCCATAAGTGGGCGTGCTATGTGCGCAAACTAGTAACCTAACTAGTACCCGATTCCGAAAATTGGAACCACGAAAAACAATAAAGAAAAAAAAAGTTTATAATCTGTATAATCTGTGGTATTGGTATTACCAAAAATCTACCTTCAAATTAGTAAAATTTATAATACGGCCCAGAGAAAGCTACAATTACAATACCAGCAAAATGTGATTGTGTCATTGTCAAATTCGATTTCACATTTTATTTATAAAAATTGCATTTTAAAAGCTAAGAAGCCTGGTATAAGTCTGTGTGTAGCATCTTTAGATTCATAAAAAAGTAGCAATGTGAAAACCGCATCTTTGTATCTCTACTCATGAACGAGAAACCCTATAAAACATACGAAAATGGGATACCCTGTACTCCCTATAAAATTGAAATACTGATTACTTAATTTGTACCGATTTACCTTTCTTGTGATCCTTGTCGGTTTTGGGTTTTTTCGATTTTTCGTCTTCTTCAATTCTTAAATAGGCTTCGTCCCTTACAATAGCCTTTCCAAGGGTTCCTTGAATTTCGGTTAATCTTAAATTGAAATTTAATTAAATTAATATGTCAAATTGGCAAATTTTCTATACGTGGCTCTAAGCAAAAGCCATTTTGGTATTTATACTCTGTTTTTTTTCTCAGGTAAGATTTCGGCTGACGATGACAGAAGAAAAGCAGATGACGTCCCATACCAATCTATTTATTTTACTCTTTGAATAAGAAGACTAAGGAAGGAGCATAATGCTATCCATGTATTCATGCATGATGGGCGGAAAAGCCACCATAAAAGCTCTCTAGGGTGGGGATCTTTGACAGTTCTGTTTGACGATTCATTTGACACATTTGAATTTGATTTGAAATTTTGTGGATTTGTCAGTCTTTACGGAGCTTATTTTATGTTATTTATTATTTATTCTACTACTGATAGTTGTATAAAGGTAGTCAATCTAGATGGAAATTGTGGCAGTACTTAAATTAACAGTGACACTATCGCGATTTATCGAAAAAGACTCTAAAATAGTTGGTTGTGTAGCGTGCGGTAGATCTCGGCAAAAATTGAGTGAAATAATGGAACAACTTTTCGCTAGTAAGTGACTATACAAACATGTACATTCATGATACATTCTATTACATCATGATACATTCATGTAGTAAACCTATCATTTATGAAATTCACTTAAATTAACTAATTATATATTTTTTCTCGCATTTTTGCTTTTATTTACTACTTGTCAAAGATTAGATGTCAAAGAATTTAGATACGTCAATTTGACTTACCTGCTTCAGTAGCGTATCGGATGTTTGTGTTAATACATAATTATTAAAACTTATCTATTTTTATTATAATAATATGTTTTTATAACAATTTTAATAACTACCAACATTTATTCACAACGTAAAATAAAAAAAAAATATTGAGTCTACTCCACGTCTACCCTACATCACAGTTTTACATTTTTTAAATAAAATTAGAACGACAATGACAAACCGGAATTTAAGACGGCCATATTTGAGTCCCATCGCGGTGGACCTAAAATTTTTGATATGCTCCTTCCTTAGTCTTCTTATTCAAAGTTCTAAACCGTATAAAATTGTGATTACTTTGGAAATACGTGCAACTTTTAATGCGCATGCGCAAAGTAAGGTCCTCGAGAAAGACAAACCTATTGAACGTTTCATAAGTGCAATAAAGAAGGTTTGAAAATGGCATGTCGTGAAGTTGGAGACATATTTTTTAATGCTAAACTTATGGCGTTGATTTATCCACGTAAGTATACAGGGTGGCCCATCGAAAACGTTCCGCAAGGCATAACGGCCAGGGTAATTTTTTTTTCAGAAAATTCAAAATCACGTCAATTTTGTTTGTGAGGGGGACAACTTTTGCCCCAAAAATGATTGCAAAATCTTCAACCCTCTAAGCGGGGGTGTCATCCCCCAACTTTTTTCAAATGGGAAGGGGTGTCAATGAAAAGGGCTTTTTATTATTCTCTATACTTTCCCGCTTCGTTTTTGAAAATCGGTCGAGTCATTGAGAAAATATGAAGGATTGAAATTTGAAAAGTTTATTTAAACATTTATCAGAGTAAATGATAAGGATAAATTCCTTCGACCAATTTGCTGTTTTTTTCTTATTATTTCTAGATGTTTACGCATTTTTTCACTTGCCACAAGGTTGAACGATCAGGTGCGGTAGTTGCTAGATAGCTGTTCTGTGACTTATGCGTTGAAGTTCTTCTCAATATCGTTAAACTTTTTAACAATTATGGTGTACTCACTCGCAGAAAAAGTGGAAATAATCGAACTTTATTTTAAAAATAATGAATGTGGCAATCGGGTTGCGCAGATATTCAATGAACGCCATCCTGACAAACATCTTTATGGCAAAATTGTTCGCGAGTTAGTAGCAAAATTTCGCGAAACTGGTTCCGTTATGAATAAAAAGAGGCAGAGGGAAAACCCTGTAGTAAATGAAACTATGGAGGTATTCGTATTGGGCCAAGTTGCCATGGATAGTACGTTGAGTACAAGAAAATTAGCCAATGAAAAATTAGCCGGCGTGAATCGTAACAGTGTCCAAAGGATATTAAAAAAAAACACAAGTTCCACCCGTACAAAATTCAGTTGGTACAAGAACTCAACGAAGACGATTTTGATCGTCGCTTGCAATTTTGTGAAACTGTGAGTGAACGAGTGGCGAGAATGATAATAATTTCCTATTTAATGTGTGTTTTTCGGATGAGTGTACTTTCTTTTTGAACGGTGTAGTTAATCGGCATAACTGTCGGTACTGGACTGAGGGGTTTTTCACGAGGTGTACACACAAAACCCCCAGAAATTGAACGTGTGGGTGGTATTTTTGGAAATTCTATTTTAGGTCAGTTTAACGATAATGAGAAGAACTTCAACGCACAAGTCACAGAACAGCTATCTAGCAACTGCCGCACCTGATCGTTCAATCTTGTGGCAAGTGAAAAAATGCGTAAACATCTAGAAATAATAAGAAAAAACAGCCAATTGGTCGAAGGAATTTATCCTTATCATTTACTCTGATAAATGTTTAAATAAACTTTTCAAATTTCAATCCTTCATATTTTCTCAATGACTCGACCAATTGTCAAAAACGAAGCGGGAAAGTATAGAGAATAAAAAGCCCTTTTCATTGACTCCCCTTCCCAGTTAAAAAAAAGTTGGGGGATGACACCGCCGCTTATAGGGTTGAAGATTTTGCAATCATTTTTTGGGGCAAAAGTTGTCCCATTCACAAACAAAATTGACGTGTTTTTGGATTTTTTGAAAAAAAAATATCCTGGCCGTTATGCCTTGCGGAACGTTTTCGATGGGCCACCCTGTATATCATCTATAGTTCCAACGCAGAAATTTGTATATGTAGTATTCTAGAACGGTAATTGGTATCGCCGCGCGCTGGATCTGTACGACATGTGGCCCAAGTCGCCAAACCAAACCTAACCTAACCTAACAGTTCTGTTATTATACCAAATTTGTTTACTTACTGTTCTTGCTTTTCGGCTTCTTGCATTTCAAGATCGAGCATTTTTTGTTCCATTATTTGAGACTTAAGTTCTGTTTTCTTTTGTGTCATTTCCTGTTCTTTACGAAGCTGCATCAATCTCGAAGCCAGTCTAAGAAGAATATTGTAAATTACAATTTATACTAGATAGGTATAGTAATGGGCATTACGATTGTTTTTAGCAATTTCATATTGAATCGACTCCTACGATTCGTTCATTTGAACGAACTACATGCCCAATTTACGTTTTATAAAAACAAGAATCGTAACTGGCATTATCGGCGATAATTTGGTCGGATAATTACTTAAGGAAACAGAAAGAGAAATATATAGTTCTTTCATTTGTTTTTCATCACTTTATGACCCTGGCGTAATTGGATTGATTATTTTACCAATAATATTAAATTATCAATCCAATTCATATATACTATTTATTAAAGATTTCTTAATACCAATTTAATATTTTTAGAGCCATATTATTTTAATTCCGAATTAATAATCATAACAAATAGTATACATATAATACCGCATGATCGAGAAAAAAATGGCGACCAGTTGGCTTGGAAATGAACATCTATGACATTACCCATATAATTTTACATATAAAATGACATCTTCATTTTATAACCATCGCTGACGCCGTTTTTTTATCACATTCAGCAGAGGCCAACAATATTTATTTGGAGTTGCATAAAAACACGATTTCGTCCTTTAGTCTGACATTTAATGGTTTATAGTCAGTAATATTATTTTAACAAAAATATTAAAAAAATAAGAATTGGCTATAACTCAGTAATTTTTTGAAAAAAAAACATATTATAGCTTATATCGCTGAAAAGCTTAAAAAATGGCGCTTTTTATGAAGTCATGGCCAACTATGGTTTCTATTTAAAAAAAACATATGTTTGTGTCATATGTTAAAAATTACAGGCTTTAGAGAAAATCGGAGAACACAAACTCATTAGGGATGTGATTATCTACAACTTTTATCTGAAAATTTTTTGTCTAAAACAGATTATAATGAAATTAGAGACAATTTTTAAAATAGCCAAAATTTGTTTTTTTCGAAATATCTAGTAAGCCATGAACTTTTTCAAAAATCTGAAAGGCGCATATTTATAACCCGACAAAACTGCAATTCTTTCCCCATTTAACGGACTCTCTATCTCCAATAGTTTCCTAGATACCCATAGAAAACATTGTAGGAAACTCACCCTGTATAATTATATACAAGGTATGACTCAAGTATGACTTTTAAATCTTTTTATATTATTTGGAACGTTTAAAATTGTTTAAAAGTTGTTGTGGGGTTTGAAAAAAATAGCATGTTCTATTCGGAGTAAAAATGACTTTTTGTGGCTCGCCTGTTTGTCAAATTTACAGTCTCGCCACAGGAAGTATCATTTTTATTTCTAATGAAACAATATACTATTATTAATATTTTCTATGTGGAAACTGCAAGTGCATCTAGTAAAATCTACTCAAAAAATGCAAGACTTGGTTGCAATGCTTGGTCTTGCATTGGTTCATATTTAATTGTTATATACCAGCAAGCAGCACAAATTATATGGTATGTAAAAATTATCTAAATTAGTTGTTTACTTCTTGTTTTCTTCTGCTAGTCGACCACCTTCGATCTTCAACCATTGTAGTCGATGGAATGCTTCTTGTCTACGCTGAGCATCTATATCATCAGCATCACGCCGGACCTGCAGGATAAATACATGAAATGAACAAATATTAAAAATATAAATTATTTTCTTGTTGCTTTTATTTTTGTGACAGTTTGTTACTAGTTGTACAGGGTGTCACATTTTGGTTGAAATCATACGGTATCTCCGTTATTAGTGAAGATAGAATGGTGCGGTTTGCACAAACCTGTCCCACTTTTTTGTCAAACGGAAGTGCCGTAAACAAAATTTTCATAGCCCTCTTCGTTTCCGAGATACAGGGTCTTTTTGAAACCTAACCTAACCCTCCCCGATTCCCGGATTTCGCCGTTCTCGATTTCCGATTTTGGGGATTTATGAAATACGAAATATATCGTGGCACTGCAACAATATCGAACACCTGAAAAATGCTTTAATAACTCAAGCTTTTAGAAATTTGCACACCCATCCCGTTATAAAAAAAAATATATTCCCAGATTCAGTGGTAACAGTTATTTCAAAAGTAAAATATATCAATCCCAAATAAAATTTTAATATGTGTATGACTATTTTAGTAAATACCATTTTGATTTTTTGTTATTTATCACGGCCTACTAATAAGAAAATGATATATTTGAAATATTGCAGTAAATAGTGAAAATAAATATAGAGAGATATACATATTTTTGAGAAGCTCATAGCAAGACAGATCATATGATTTATAAATATACAGGGTGTTCCATTTGAAAAAACATAACTTTAGTTCATATTTTCAAAAATATTTTTTTGGTAGAAAAACAGACTACGCCACTGTATTCTACGTAAAAAGTTCTACAATAAGCAGTTTTCGCCTTATCACAGATCATACAGATTATAAACTTATCGTCAAAAGCATTGATTTTCGTGGTTCCAATTTTTGGAGTCGCACACTAGTTAATAGACAGTTAAAGCAAGGCACAATACGTATACGTATCTCTCGACACGTAACGCAGAAACGTTACGTTACGTCTGCCGTTGCGTTGTCGTGTAAACAAGAGTTAAAGCAAGTATTTTGACGTACGTAACGCAAATGGTACATTTGTAATTCTAAATTATTTTGTGAAACAATTTATTTCATTTTAAAATTGAAAATGGATATCTATTATTCCATTGATTCCACATTAAATTTATAAAAGTAATATCGAAAAATGAAGAAAATTATAAATGGAAATTATTTTATTACAGAAAGTAGTCTTTACAACTTAAAATGCTCTTCGTAATAAAAAAAATATTGGAAAACAGACACAGCTTTATCATTATTTATTAGATTCCATCTTTTAGAATCCTCATATGGATTTTGGCTATAAGAACTAGCATTTAATTAAATAGATTCCAAAATGAGTTTATTATGATGCTTAATATTTTCGTACTAATTTATTGTAATAAAATAGGCCCAGTTCTGTGACACTGGCCCCAAAATTTATGAAATAACTTAATTACTAGCCAGTTGTGGAAACGAGTTGTTTGTGAATTTGTACGTTCGACATCATTCGGGTGAAAATCGAAACTCCTTCGGCTCGATACGTTTGCGTTTTGTACTTACGTAAAGGCACGTAAAGATACGTATCACGTATCCGTAAACGCAAGTGAATTTCTCACTGCGCAAGCGTACATGTCAAACGATACGTTTACGTCTACGTCTTTGGCCGTGCTTTAACTGTCTAATATCTGACAAACGGATCTAAAACAGCAAGAGGAATTCGGGCAAAAAAAGTCGACGTTGTCACGTTTAATAATAGAAAAGCAAAGTTGCTCAATATTACCTATAAATTGAATATATTTTAGTTCATTTCAGCATACATAATTATATATATGCTAATATCTTGACGTTGTTCTTATTGTATTAATGTATATTTATCTCATTAACTGATCTCCTTCATTCTGCCTATTATAAAAGGTAAAGTATTTCCTAAAAATAACGTCCGCTTAGGGCAAGCTGCCAACGCTGACAAAATTCATCATGGCATCCCGGATTCAACCAATCTGATTGGTCGAGATTCTCGCACGTCTTGCCACCATTACCCCCAACTTTATGCCCCTCTCTGGGAATAGTAGAAACAGCCACTACTACTGAAAAATCCAGTGGCGGTGTATTATATTGAGTTTTATGCTTTTAACTTGATTTCTGCTTGTTGTAATTAGTACACGCGTTTTAACAAATATTACTATATTTGGCAAATGACTGGACAAAATGTAGGTACATTTAAAATAAAGTAATATTATAAACTTTACTGGAAAATATAAAAATTCCTGATATAATTTTATGAAACACCGCACGCTCCTGGATATTTTATGAATGAAATCGGTCATGATTTCACAAAATTGCGATCCCCTTACCGTTGCCCCGTTGTTTCAGATCCGTTTGTCAGACTGTAGGTTACTAGTTTGCACACAAGCACGCCAACTTATGGCCTCTAAAATTGTGCACAGTGCCTGACCGGCCGGCGCGCGGCGCGGCCTTGTGGCCGGTCCAGTTATCACGCTGTTTAAACGGGAGTTTATTTTTGCGCACAAGAAAATTTACTCTTTTGCTCATCGTCATAAAAAACAATTTTCGTACCACGAATTACGGACAAGATTTTTATCTGTATACTTATAGGATACTTAATCTGTGGCCTTATCGATACCTTTAACAATAACAGAGATACAGGGTGTGCCCAAAATTGCAAAATTTTGGAAAAGACCCTGTAGCTCAGAAACGAATAGGGCTATCAAAATTTTGTTTGCAGCATCTTCCGTTTGACAAAAAAGTGGGACAGGTTTGTGCAAACCGCACCCTTCTATCTTCATTAATAACGGAGATACCCTATGATTTCAACCAAAATGAGACACACTGTACATGTAAAAGACCATACCATAACGTGGTATACTGATGCTTCCAAAACCAAAGTAGGAACAGGGACAGGAGTATTTGGGCCGAAAACTAAATACTCCGAATCAATGGACACCTACCCCTGTATCCTTCAGGCAGGAATCTACGCTATCGAAAAATACGTACAATTTTTCTTAGATAGGAACTATCGCAAACAAGAAATAGCCATCTCATCCGATAGCTAAGCAGCACTAAACGCGAACAATTCAGTAACCATCAATTCGAAGTTGGTCAAAGAGTGCTTAGAAAAGCTGAACAATTTCCAAATTAGGCAAAGAAAATAGAGTCCTTCTACTCTGGGTGCCCGCTCACCACGGCATCGGCATAGAAATCAATGAAAAAGCAAATCTAGCTAGAAAAGGAGCGAACACTCCCACTAACTGGACCAGAACCGTTCTGTTTTCCAAGCGGAAACCAATTAGAGACGGAATTTAGGAACCTGGAGGACTCCATCCGTGACCTGGAATGGGAATTCTCCAACGGTCTAAGACACTCGAAAAAGTTCCTCAGAAGTTACGACCGAGAAAAATCAAAGATTGTTCTTGAATTAAGTAAAAACCATCTTCGGATTGTCACGGGGTTTCTAACAGGACACTGTCCCCTCAACCATTACCTCAGGTGGCTGAAGCTAAGGAATAACGGCGAATGCAGATTCTGTGAGGAAAATGTGAAAACACCATAACACCTTATCACTGAGAGCGCCGAGACGACGACCGTTCGTGCCATGAACTTTGGTACGGCTGATATCGAGAATGGAGAGCTGGCCTCTGTGGAGCCGTCTCAGATACTGGCTTTTGTTAAAGCCCTAAGACTGTATAAAGCGTTATAACTCGTTATAACTCAAGAAAGGGAAACATACAATAGATCTTTAAGGTCGCGGTGATTACTCCTCTCCTAAACCATTCTACATTCAACCAGTTGTAGAATGACAAACAATAGGTGTCATCATGATTATACCGGAAATTGTTAAGTGCAGTTATCAATGAGAATATACAAGATGTCCCAATATTCCGTTGACATAGAACTCTTACTACGTATTTTTGGAATCAAAATAAGTTCATTGGACACTACAACATATATACAAAAGTGTGGTATGCCTGTTAGAGGGCATCTCACTTAAAAAAATTAACACATTTTTGAAGTCTTTACAAAAGAACAATAAAAAGTACGGGAATGGTGAAAACTACCCTCACCCCAACACCCTCACCCTACATAAATTTTAGTAGAAATATTTACTCCACCGATGGCGACGCGACGACCGAGTTTTTTTTCGTAAAATGGTCCTTCTATTATTTATTACATTTTTGTCTCTTCTCAAAAACGCCATATTGCATATTTTTTTGGAAAAAAATTGAGATTTTTTTTCCAAAGCAGACCTACAGAATATACAGGGTGTCCCAGAAATGAGTGCAAGTATTTTAACTGGTAGTATATTTCGGCCTCAGAAACACGCCTATTAGATTTTTTTGCGAAAAAAAAAATTTGAAAATTTGAAATTTTTTGAAAAAAAATTTTGAAATTTTTTTAGTTTTAAGTTAAAAAAAACATTATTTCTTGATAATATGGCAACATAGTTAGTAGATGAAATTTACATGAAAGAAAATCCAGAAAAGATCCAGTGGTTCTGAAAATTTAAGCAAAAAGCATTTTTCTTAAATTTTCAAAGTAGAATAACTCGGTTATTTTGGACTTACTTGAAAAACGGTAAAGAAAAAAAATGTTTTTTTGACCAGATCTACCACCCCTTAAAATACTTATTTCTGGAACACCTTGTATAGAATGGCATATTCTACGGATATAAAGAGTCCTGCAAGAGTTTGCAGATACTTGGGGTATTATTTTATATCTATGGTTCTTTCAAAGGTAAAATACGAGAGAAAAATGATTGCGTGGCTTTGATAAAAATTTACTGTGGAAAATGCCATATGAAATATAAAACAGCAAATATATGCGAAACCGTTAAATCAAGTTATTTAAAAAATGTCTATACCTATGTGGCGGATTCATCTCTCCAAAAAATCCTATATGAGTTTTTCGCCACTGCAAGAAAATCTACAAAATAAAATTGCTATTTTATGTTAACACTTTTTCGTTAATACCAAACGGAAACTACTTGTCAAAAGTTAGGTTTAAAGATATACAAATTTGCCTAACGAACAAAAAAATGCTTAACGTTTCGGAAAGTTTATCTCTTTCCGTCGTCGGAAGCAAAAAAATACAAAGAATAAAAAAAAACTATTTAAAATATTTAAATTCAACTATTCTAAAACACTTTAGTTTTTTAAAACAGATACGTCTACAAAAACCGTCGACGTTCTGTTAAAATGACAGAATGACATATATATCAAGTTAAACTTCAAAATTAAAAATTACTACCTGATAACAATAATTACTTAATAAGGTAAAACCAAAAAGAACAAAACTTTCTGTATATGATTATTTATTATTTATTTCTGTATTATTCTTTATTTGTATGCGATAAATTTTACATTGGTGAAACATCTAGACCCTTAAATGTTCTAATTAAAGAACATAACGATTATTTAAGAAAGGGAGATTTTCACAAATCTAAGATTTGTCAGCATTCATGGGACACAGGGCACAGAATAAATTTTAATAACGCCAAAATTATAATGAAAGAAGATAGCCTCTAAAAAAAATAAAAGAGGTTTTTTAATACAATCTAATAAAAATAAATGTATTGCTCATGCATCTGTAGATGCTAGTAATGTATGGCAATCGCTTTTTTGATTGTTTTTTTGATTTTAAGGAACATAACATAAATAATCATAACATACGTAAAAATTAAAAATAATCATACAGAAAGTTTGGGGCTTTTTGGTTTTACCTATATTAATTAATTGTTATCAGGTAGTAATTGTTAATTTTGAAGTTTAACTTGATATAATGTCACTTTAACAGAACGTCAACGGTTTATGTAGACGTATCTGTTTTAAAAAACTAAAGTGTTCATCTCTCGAATGGTTTAAGTCGTATCTGAGCAACAGAAGTCAACTTGTGATGTGGATACCACATTGTCTTCTAGCAAGCCAATAGAATGTGGAGTACCACAAGGCTCAGCACTAGGCCCTATTTTGTTTCTTCTTTTTATTAACGACATTGCTAACATAAACATCAGTGGCAAAATATGTCTTTTTGCGGACGACACTAGCTTCACTTGGAGCAACAAGGACATCACGGCACTTCATAGGATTATATCAAATGACTTAATCACCATTAAATCTTGGTGCGATTCGAAACTTCTTAATCTCAACATTTCTAAAACTAAAGCTTTGTCGTATAAAAACTCGTTGCAGCCTTTTGTACTTAACAACACCACCATTGACGTCGTAAAATCTGTAAAATTCTTAGGGCTTGTTGTGGACAACTCTCTGAAATGGGACATACATATCAAAGCTTGGTCGAAAAAATTGAGCTCTGCCTGTTGCATTAAGGTCTGTTTCTAAGGAGCTTAACTTGTCAGTGGCTGGAACTGTTTATTATGCACTTTTTGAGTCGCACCTCAGGTATGCCCTTCCATTCTGGGGTACGTGTTGTGCGACTCAATTTGAGCGCATTTTCAAGCTCCAGAAGAGAGCTGTTCGATATTCACTGGGACTAAACAGCAGAACTCATTGCCGGGACTTTTTTAAAGAATTAAAAATATTGACTCTTCCTTCCTTATTTATATTTGAATCCGTTTGCCTAATACGTAAACATGTATCAGCTTCTCAAGAAAGGCCATCTCACACTTATCCACTCAGGAACGCGGAGCAAGATCTTTATCTACCTACCCCACGCTCAGAGTTAGTTAAAAGTTCAATATTATACAACTCGAAAAAATGCACAATCACCTGCCATTTGAAATCAAATCCATAACATCATTTTTTTCATTTCGCAAAGCATTGAACTCTTATTTACTAGACAAGGCTTTCTACGCCGTAAATGAATTATATTTTGAAAATCGAATTTGATCTTGTAAACACTGGTCTAATGTTTGCTATTGCTATATTTACTAATGACATCGAAATTAATTTATTTAGAGGTCATTGATATTTTACTATAAACTAGCTAAATATTTTTGAATATTATTTTTATTTTTTTTGTACTTTGACATTGTAAACATTTATAAATGTTTATTTTAACAATAAGACTGACAATATTATTTGTATAATGTTTTGTATTATCTTTTGTTTGTTTGTTTGTGTACCTTGTTTTTTTTTACTTTGTATGTTAGTTTTTTTACTTTGTCTACAAATTGAAAAATTTTTTGACAATTAAGGCATTTATTTATTTATATTTATTTATTTGTTCTCGAATAGTTGAATTTAAATATTTTAAATAGTTTTTTTCTTTATTCTTTGTATTTTTTTTGCTTCCAGACTTGACGACGGAAAGAGATAAACTTTCCGAAACGTTAAGCATTTTTTTGTTCGTTAGGTAAATTTGTATAACTGTAAACCTAACTTCTGACAAGTAGTTTCCGTTTGGGATTAACGCAGAAGTGTTTACATAAAATAACTATTTTATTTTATAGATTTTCTTGCAGTGACGAAAAACCCATATAGGATTTTTTGGAGAAGTTATTTAAAAATAGACTCACCATTACGGGTATCGGCATAATGTAGTTTAGATACTGGTCACGGTCTCTGGCGTATCTCTCAAAATCAAATTCTGGAATCATTGAATAAATCTCGCTGATCATCCACAGCGTTTTGTGGTTGTACATATCGTACCTTTCGTTGTAGAAATTGACGGTCTGTATTTGCTCGTTTACCAGAACGTCACTAACGTCTTGCGTCATAGTTTCGTAAACTTTAGTCACCATTTTCCTAAACGACGCGATGTCTTCCTCCATGACTTTCCTCATAGCTTCTCCTAGTAACGACATAAATCATACCATGTTATACTTTAAGAACTTAGGCTAACTATTCTGACTATAATCTGCTGACTGATGTTGAAAAACACCTAGTTAATACTAACCATTGTCACTAGTATACTTTGATACTAAATTAACATACTCCTGCACCGTGATTTTGACCTTGGACTGATTCAAATACCTTAAAATACTGGCCAATTGCTTTTTATCTTCACCTTCGGGATTATTTCTTCTCATTATCTTTTTTCGTATTTCTTCAAAATTGATTTCTAAAATATAGAAAACCTATTTTTACATTATACATATAATATTATTCCCAGAAATTTCATTCATATGGCACAGAAGAAGAATATGGTGTGTCCAAGAGAAAACATTAATTTTTTTTTATGCAACTCCAAATAAGTATTGTTGGCCTCTCCTCAATATGGTAAGAAAACGGCGTCAGCGATGGTTATAAAATGAAGATCGCTGTCATTTTATATGTAAAATTATATGGGGAATGTCATTAATGTCCATTTCCAAGCCAACTGGATGCCATTTTTTTTTTCGATCATGCAGTATTATATACTATTTATTATGATTATTAAATCGAAATTAAAATATGGTTCTAAACATATTAAATTGGTATTAAGAAGTCTTTAATAAATAGTATATATGAATTGGATTGAAAATTCCACACCTGTAATTTTTAACCAATCAAAATGTGTTTTTTGGACAAATCACCATGGCAACGGATAAATTTTAGTGAACATTTTTTCCTTATGGGCACCCAACAGCGAATTATACTGGAAATTTTTTGACGTTTATAATGACAGAATATCTTTTTGAGAGTCTGGTTTTTATTTGTTTACATGATAATTTTGATACATTTCAATTACAAATCTGAGATGAAAGTTTGTAAACTGCTTCCATACGCTTGTCTTCGATTTCTTAGCATTCGCGGGTGTCAACTGCTTAATCTACTGGCGATTTTTTTCTTTGCTTTCATGAACGAAGCGAAACATTTTTTTAAGCCGTACCGCTCAGAGAGAACATTAATAACTAAAGAATTTGTGACTAAAGTGAGAGAGACCGATCAACGTAAAATTTTTGAAGACTGTGTTAGTGGCGCGGCCTTTGGCGTCTAACCCGAACTATGAGCGCATTATCGATATAGTAGGTTGCATTCATACCTATATACTGGCGCCAAAAAATTAAAATTTGTATATTTGAACGGAATTTTAATCTTTCAAGTTTATAATAAGAAATCTTCGTAGTTTTTTTAGATTATTTTGTTGACAATGAAAATTTATTATTACTTTAAAGCATTAAAACCTATAAATAAAATACTGTGTAGGAACATAATAATTTATTTAACTCCAAGAAATATCTAGCAATAAAAAGAAAAAAAAAACATATTCCCATAACACAAAATAAATTAAAATCTTTCTTAAAAATGTTAATAATGAATAAAAACAAAACAATACATACTAATGTTTTGCCACAGGCTCTTCTTGACCTGTAGGTGAACCGATTGTCAACCCAGGTCTTTGGTGGGTTGTGGATTGTCATGCTTTTTCTTGAACTAAAAATAAATAAGTTCAATTATTCATTAAGGTTTAATTTTACATGCTTATCAGTTTAGGTAATCCGTTTCTGTACATGTCGTAGTGGAGCTCATACTCCTTCCCATACTCCTACTCAAGGCTGCAATCTTCAATATCTTTTTTATCTAACTTAGTTGGGAGTGAACAGGGAAGCACGGTTGGGAGCTCGCACAAAGTATCAGTATAGGTATCCCTTAGGTATTCAATGTTTTTGATAGTCTTTATTCTATAACAAGAACCTATCAGTTGAAGAAAATAATTTGTATTACTGGTAATAATACCAGGTATAATACCTAGTCCTTCCATAGGTATCAGAAAAGAATGTGATGTTTTACTTTTACAATCGGATTTATCCCATACGTTATGCTTACCTATGTAAATTAGCAATGTACGACTATTAGTACGAGAGCTAGCAACGTCGGGAAAACAAGTATTTTAAGACGTCTGGCTCTTTGATATATCTTTTACTATGCTCTCTAGAACAGTCTGGCCGCTGGTAAACGTTGCGTTCCCTACTGCGCATTGAAAGAAGATATTTTATTCGTTATTTAAATTCTAGTATTGAATATAAACCGACCGAGTCTCCATAACTCAATGCGTAGAGTTTCAGACCACGAACCGAGGAGCCAGAGTTCGAATCCGGATCAGGACAAAAAAAATTTTATTTTATTTTCGTTTATATTCTGACAGTAAAGTATTAAATATTTTTTTTTTGAGTCACCAGAATTATTTAATACTTTACTATCAGAATATATACGAAAATAAAATAAAAGTCTTTGCCCTGACCCAGATTCGAACTCTGAATCGTCGGTTCGTATAGTCGGAAACTCTACGCACTGCGCTATGGAGACATGTTCGATTTATATTCAATACTAGAATTTATAGGACTAAATTAAAAAATATATAGGATCTTCTTCCGATGCGCAGTAGTGAACGCAACGGATATCGGCAGCCAGACGGGCATACTGTTCCAGAGAGCGTAGTAAAAGATATATCAAAGAGCCAGACGTCTTAAAATACTTTCTCGAGAACGTTGCTAGCTCTTAGACTATATTATGTGCACTCACTAATACTATTAGGTATTTTAAAATAATTACCGAGATAAAACTTACCTTTAAAGGAAACGTTTTGTCTGGATCTCAACCTGGTACATTCAGTCAAAAACAATTTATTAATCCGATTATCAACAGATTTTAGTTATCTCCTTCTAGAGCTAAGAAATAGAAAAAGCTACTGACAATCTAATTAATCCTGTCAAATGTATAACTTGCAAAGTTGAAAACCTCCTTTTTTGACCACCTAAACGCTATGCGCGTCTGGGATGCGCGGTGACAAAATAAACTTATCTACGAAATGCCCTATCCAACAAGCCCTCTCACTTTAGTTATTAGTGTTCTCTCTGGTACCGCTTGACAGCTTCAAAACTGAAATAGTTTCATAGATAAATGAAACTAGTTTAGATTGGAAAGTGCTAGATAAGGACAATGTAAACACTATTTGGCGCTATTCTTGCAAAGGTCGCGACCCAAAACTTTTGAAAATTTCGGAGCGGTTTGGCTTTTTCCGGAATTATATCGCCAAATATTGTTTATTCAATTATTTTCGTTTAATTTTATAAATAAAATCCACTGTGTTGCATACAAGAATCTTTATTTTATATAAGGACGCATGTATGAAATACCTATGAAACATTGGAAACCGACGTTATGCCACGATCCACGATGGTTTTTGCAGTTCACAGTTCACAGCACAGCTTTTTAAGTCTTTAATGCCACTTTTTCACAATTATCACTGGTTGGAGTAAATAAAACTTGAATTAAACTCACAAAATAGCAATAATTACTTTGAAAATGGACGCTATATAAACATTTTTTGGAATTTCTTTAATGAGAGCGGTTTAGATTTTGAAAGATTATTATGATTTTTGAAGATTCTGACTTTGACAAGAGAAAATTATTTTTGTTTTTGTTTGGCGTTGTTCTTAGCGACCGCTATAGCAGCGCCAGATCGCGTATAACGGTCGCGACCCAAAATAATTTCGCGACCCAAAATTTTTACGGGCTTTCCAATCTAAATAGTTTTTAGGTTTGGGTGTCACTTAGTTGTCGTAGTAACTAAATAATCAATTCGACCAAAAATCGAAAAATACATTTTAATTATTTGATTTTTAAACACAATTTGGTGTGGAATTTTCTTACCGAATACCACACGAGGTTGAATACCACACCGAATACCACACAAATTAAATCGGGACATTTTTTCACGCTCATGAATATTTTTAGAAAATTATCCCTTTTTTACCCCAATTACCACAAAAATTTCCGGGAATAATTTGACCTCTAGTGGTATTACTAGTGATAATTTAATATTAATTGGTAAAATAATCAATCCAATTACGCCATTGTCAGAGAGTATTGAAAAACAAATGAAAGAACTGTATATTTCTTTTTCTGGTCCTTTAAGTAATTGTCCGATCAAATTATCGCCTGTAGTGCCAGTTACTATTTTTTTATGAAATGTAAATTGTGCATGTGGTTCCATCAAATTAACGAATCGTAGGAGTCAATTCAATATGAATTGAATCGTGTCATTAATTCACTAAAAAGAATCGTAATGCCCATCACTACCCCGAAATGAAAGGAACTAGTTCCCAGTTTTTTAAAATACTAGTTCTTCAGGACCTATTCCGGGATCGAGACTGTGACCGATATAATAATATGCAACGGCAACGGATCGGCTAGCGCGATCATAGCCCGATGTTAGACGGGAGTGGAAAGTGCCAGCCGTATGTTACATGTCCCGGACCGAAAGGACTGAGAGGAACTAGAGGAACTAATTAAAAGACTAGTTCACGGGAATTTATTCAGTCGACAGATCCGAGATATAAATCAAGGCTACTACGATGGATTCGGCCTTGTCTATTGCCACAGCTGGCGTAATTAACACAGAAAATTATCGTATTAGATATTGTTTTTAATTTTTAGTTTGTTTTTCGAATATTTTATGGGAATGTTTCACTTTAGGTCCCTAAAATTAAGAAATATCTTATAAAACGAAGTAGATATTCTGAATTTTTAGACAAAAACAAAAAGCTGGAAGTGACAAAAAATGCAATTTCTCGTAAAATTATTTGCTCCAATTGATTTGTGATATAGTTTTTTAAATTCTGATTTAAATTTCTTTTTTATTTTTTTTATCTGCAATAAAACTTACCTAAATGTTTTTAACATACGCAATTACAGGCCCTGTTATATTTCGTACATTATAAAAATTATACAGATCATACTGTGAATAGTTCTAACTGACAACAAAACCCATTAGCAAGCAACGCAACGGGGATGTCAATGTTAGTCGGGAACTATTGTGAACTAAAGACCTAGTTCAAGGAACTTTTCCTCTGGAGGAACTAGAACTAAGGAACTAGTTCCTCCCAAGGAACTAGAATTCCCACCTCTATACATCGCCATAATCGGTTTACCTCTCTTTTTTCCAACAATACTCAAAGGAGGAAGCTGAAATTCGATTTCTTTCTTTGCCTTTGCAATATCTTTGCCCTTGGCAGCATCTCTCTCATCTTTTGCGTTTTTGGTATCTTTTACATCATTTGCATCTTTTGCACCTTTAATATTTGTTTTTGTTCTGCTAGTACCAGTTCTTGACGGTTGCCTAGCTGCTGTTTGTGAGGGTTTTTTTAAGTTTGAAGAGGAGCCGTCTGGATAAGACCCAGGAGGGGGCCCTTTAAAAACTTTCATAAACTTCGACATATTTTGTTCTAAACCTAAAAAATATATAAGCGATACCCAATTAAACTTTTAGTTACGTAATCGAAGACGCTATTTTTAAATTCACTGTTGCCAACTGCGGACATATTCGGCGCCGGGTTGACTAACTGGAATTTAAATTTCCCGCTGGGGATTTAGGTGGTAGCTCTGCTATAAAAAATGTCAAGTTGCCACATTTATTTATTTATTTACTGACATTGTCATTCGTTTTGACACTTTAGTTTTGTATTACGAGTTTTTGGTTTAAATGAATTGTGTTGTGAGACTTAATTTTTTTTACTAGCAGATCTTGCAGTCGAACATTGTTCTTTTTAGAACCTTTTTTAGTGCGAAGTGTTCAAGATAGCTTAATAGCCAATTGGTATGTAAGTATATGACATAAATTAGGATTTATTGACGTATTCAATAATTATTTTTGGTCACTTCCTGTTTCACCAAAAATGACTACAACCTTTGATTTTTAAATGGCACCCTCGGTGTATTTTTACTTTATTCGGTAGAAAATGACACTCGAAAATAACACTTTCCGGTGTATCAGGAAGTGATCAAAACAATTGAATACGTCAATCAATCCTAATTTATGTCATATACTAACATACCAAACCTCATTTTTTTTAAATCGGAATATAAATAAAATGTCTACACCCTGTATTTCCGAAACGAAGCATTTAACATTTAATTCATAAATTCATACGAACTTTTTTAATTGTTTTTATCTGTGGCAGGATATGCTGCCGAAGTTTCCCGAATACAATTCGGGCCATCCTGTATAAAAGTAAATGTATAAACAGAGATAATAGTTATATTCCTTCTAGTTTACTGTTCCTACTGCCCTAGGTCTTCAAAGTATGTTATTAAATGGTTAAAGGACCAGTAGGTGGTTAACATTTGTTTTATATTTACTTTTTCTTCTTTCTACATTGTTTTTATTTGAGTTTTATAAATTATTATAAAGGCCGACGCTGCTACAATCATATCTTTGGACCTTTTTTCTATTATTTAATAGCCTTTGAATTGACTATCATCCATATACAAGTAGTTCTTAAGCCGGTCCTAAACGATGCATCCAATATTGGTTACAACGTTGGACGCATCGTTTGGCATAGGTTTTGCAAATATTACCTTTGAGAAGTGTGTCTCCTACACAATATGGCAAATGTTCATGTATCCAAAGTTTGAAGGTGTTTGCCACATTGTGTGAGACCGGCTTTAGAAAGATAAAGACACCTTATGCCAGGTCCAGACCAAGGCGACAAAAAGTGAACACGATTTTGAGACAAGACAAACCCGCGACAAAAATGAGAAATTTAGATAAGACAAATTTGAGACAAAGTATCTATACCGCGAGGACAAAACTACAACAAAGTTCAATACATGCGAATCAGTTTTATTAATCATGTGACCTTTCCACCAGGAAGAATTTAAAGATGTATTAATGATATGGAAGATGAATTTGGAAACAAAACAAAAATGAGTCAAAAATGTCGCAGAAATGTATTGGATTTGTCGCAACTTAGTCGTAAAACATGAATGTTTCTGTCTTGTCGCGGTTTTGTCTGCTTGGTCTGGACCCGGCTTTAGAAGGATAAAATACAGGAATGGTCTGAGAGCGCACGCATACACATGCGTGCTCAACACATTGGCGCTCGAGTGTGTACGCGGCTTAATATTGATTAGTATAATACAGATTTAGTATAGAGTGAACCAACTTACCGCCTCTTTCTGTTGTGTTAACTCTACAAGCAAGGACAGATCCTTCTTGCGGCACAACAAACGATTGAAACTAGAATCGCAGTAGCTATGCACGCAACAACAGTTCCGCTCATGTTCCAAGCATAAGGAAGCTCAAAATAATACTCGAACTTATGTTATAATATTACCCAAAGGTGGTATTTACAACTGCAAATTTTGACTTTGACGTTGACTTATCAAAACTGTAATGAATTAATTACTGCACTGCGGTTAGGTATGGAGTATAAAAAGCTACCTGGAATTTACCTAGTTCTAATCAGAACGTGATCAGAACTGATTGATGCAAGGAAAATATCCAAAAGGAGAACATCACATAACAGTCTGACAAATGAATCTGAAAGAACGGAGCAACGCTAAGAGGAACGCATATCCTTCAAAACATGGCCGATTTCATTTATAAAATAATCAAAGGTGTGGGGTGATTTATAAAAATATATCAAGAATATCTATCCCATCAAAAACATAGAATGTAAAAAAATGCAAAATCTCGCAACAAAATTCTTCCACTATAAAAAGTCGTCGGATCTCATGTAAAACCAAGTCTGTTTATTTTATTTAGCTTCTCTGTCAGCACCTATTCAACAATTTTATTATAAATTGTTAGTATCAATATTCGCATCCCGACAAGAGAAGACTGGGAAAGCAACCGAGTATTGAACACTCAAGGGATAGCAGTCTACACAGATGTGTCCGCAACTTCAGGAGGCACAGGTAAAGGCATCTTCTCAGAGGAACTAGATATCCGACGATCTTTAAGGCTATCGGATGGCTGTAATGTTCTACAAGCAGAGGTTTACGTCATAAAGGAAGCCGCTAGTTGTATATGAGAGAAAAAAAATTGCTGATAGACCATGACAGTGATATATATCACTTACGTGATATACTCTGACATATCGTGTATATACTCTGACAGCTTGGGCGCTTTAAGAAGCATCACCATGCAATCAGTGAGATCGGAAACTGTGATGGAATGCCGAGAAGCACCGTCCTGGCTGCATCAGGGCGGGGCTACTCTGTGCTGGATTCCAGGCCACAGCAATGTTGTAGGCAATCAGTAAGCAGACAGACTCGCCAAAGAGGGGACCAGGGAAAAGGCCGTGGCAGATGACCCACCACTTGTGATGATCAACACACTGAAGGAAGCTATAGGAACTGCAATCAAGACCATGCAGCAAGAAACCTGACAACACCGTGAGGACTGCGTCACAGCTCGAAGACTGACCACTGGCAGGTAGTCACTAAAAACTGTCCCGCGGGGGTAAACCTCGTGAGATGGAAAATTTCCACCAACGACTACTGCAGAGAATGCGGAGAGGAAGAAGAAACCATAAAGCACCTGCTGTGCCATTGTCCAGCACTGGAATACCAACGCTTTAAAACTTTAGGGCTTTAGAGCAATGTTTTTTGGAGGACTAGAGGAAGCAGCAGAAGCCAACGTCAGCGACATCGGAAACTTTACAAAAAGCTGGAAATGCTTTAACGCAAAGAAAGAATGAGAGGAAGGTTTGGTACAACAATACGGGGGTATCGCAATGGGCCCAAGGCCTCTGAGTGAGGGATCAAACATAATCCCAAACCCCAGCAACTTAACCTAACCTAACCTAGTATCAATATTAGACATTTTCATTTCTTTAATAATTATAATAACTTGGCAGCATCCCAACAAGAGAAGAATGCATGGGAAATCAACCGAGTAATGAACACTCAAGAGATAGCAGTCTGCAAGCGATCACAACGAAACCAAATCAAGAAGCAGACAGATTCGCCAAAGAGGGGGCCAGGAGGCTGCGGCAGATGACCCACCGCTTGTGACGATCAACACACTGAAGGAATCTATAGGAACTACCATCAATGCCAAGCAGCAAGAGACGTGGCAACACCGTGAGGTCTGCGCTACAGCTCGAAGACTGGCCAGTGGTAGATAGCAAAAAACAACACAACTACTAGAGCGCAAAAAGAACCTAGTAAGCATAATTGTAAGTGTCATCACTGGAAACTGCCCCACGGGGGTAAACCTCGTGATATGGAAGATTTCTAACGACCACTACTGCAGAGAATCAGCAGTTAAAAGACCATACCATAACTTGGTATACTGATGCTTCCAAAACCAATACGGGAACAGGGATCGGAGTGTGTGGGCCGAGAGCTAATTACTCCGAACCAATGGGCACTTACCCTAGTATCCTACAGGCAGAAATCTACGCTATCGAGAGATGCGTACAACTTATCTTAGATAGGAACTAACGGAAACAAGAAATAGCCATCTTGTCCGATAGTCAAGCAGCGTTAAAGGCGATCAACTCAGTATCAATCAATTCGAAATTGGTCAAAGAATGCATAGAGAAGCTGAATAAATTAGGCAAAGAAAACAAAGTCCTCCTACACTGGGTGCCTGCTCACCAAGGGATAGAAGGCAATGAAAAAGCAAATAATCTAGCTAGGAAAGGAGCGAACACTCCACTAACTGGACCAGAACCGTTATGCTTTCCAAGTGGTAACCAACTCAAGGCGGAACTCAAGAACTTGGAAGATTCCATCCGCAAACTGGAATGGAAATCTTGCAATGGTCTAAGACACTCGAAGAAGTTTCTGAGGGCTTATGATCAAGAAAAATCACAGATCTTCCTGGGTCTGAGTAAAAACAATCTTCGGATTGTCACGGGGTTTTTAACAGGACACTGTCTCCACAATGAACACCTCAGTAGATTGAAACTAAGAAGAAACGGCGAATGCAGATTCTGTGGGGAAGATGGTGAAACACCAGTACACCTCATCACTGAGTGCGCCGAGACGACAACCATTCGTGCCATGAATTTTGGTACGACTGATATTGGAGATGGAGAACTACCCTCTATAAAACCGTCCCAGATACTGGCTTTTGTCAAAGCCCTGGGACTGTATGATGAGTTATGATTCAAGAAAGGGGGACACAATGGATCTGTAAGGTCGAAGTGATTAATCCCCCTCCCACTCATTCTAAATTCTAAAAAAAAATTCTACTGCAGAGAATGCGGAGAGGAAGAAGAAACCATAGAGTACCTGCTGTGCCACTGTACGGCACTGGAAAACCGACGCTTTAAAACTTTAGGGCACGGTTTTTTGGAGGGACTAGAGGAAGCAATTATTGTATTTTTCGGAAAACTTTTGTGGTGCGCTAAAATGTTCTTAGGGAAACTATGATTTCGAACAATTTTCCATTAGGGCATTCTTCGTTTCGGTGATTTGCTTTCGGACAATTTTCCTTCGCTCATTTGTTCTCGGACAATTTTCTGGATACGCAATACAGCTATGTGCAAAGTTTAACTCATTTGAATCATAGTTTGTTGCAAAAAATCAGAGACTTATTTTTTTCAAGTGTGTTGAATTAGCTACACTGTAAAAGAGAGCTGCCATGATAGAACTCCTATTTTGTCCCAAGCAACCATCAGAAAATAATAGGCAGAATGTGTCATTTTCTTTCGCAGGCATTTTCATAACTTAAAACAAAGGACCTATTTCAAATTCCATCTTTCTTGTAGTATAACAATTGATATAACAAAGAGCTATTTAGCATTTTTGTCATAAAGCCGACGATATGTTAAAACCACAATTTGATGCTTTATACCTTTGGTTGTATTTTTTTTATTTAGAATGATGTATTTTAGGTATAATAGGAAACTTGTCTTTCACGTCAAATGAAAATGAACCAATCAAATCAATAAAAAGCTTTCCTACACTTTTTTTCAAGTGACCCCTCTAATAAATCTTATTTGAATGGCCTAAAAATAATCGTTCTTTTTTGTCTCACCTAAATATAACGATTGATTATATATTAATGATATTGAAATGTTGAGCGCTATGAAAAACATATTACCTATATATAATTGCGTAATTATAGTAATTTTATAAAATGTAAACCTTATGTACGTGTCATTTTACGTATCAATATATATACATATATATACAGCCGTTACTCGCTGACGAGTATTCGACACACATAAAGAAAATGGTCACGCAAGGCGTTTTCTTTCATGAGCTTTTCTGTGACTGAAAAGCCCGATACGTGATGTTATCTGCCTACCGCACTCCGGACATTCAAAAATCTCATTGCTTTGTTGCCTCTCTACTTTTTGGTTGCCGCTGTTAACTGAGTTTACAACCCTTCTCCATTGAGTTCTATTGTGAGCTGCTTTTTCCCACTCATTCTGCATGTTAATTCCCTTTAAATTTTCGTGGAAAATGTCCTTGTATCTTTTCAGTTGTCCACCCGGCCTCCTCTTACCGTCCACAAGCTCACCGTAAAGCAGAGATTTTGGTATGCGGTTTTCTTGCATTCTGCATACGTGACCAGCCCATCTTAAGCGGGATTTTGTGACCATGACTTCAATACTCTCGCAGTTAGATTTTTCAAGGACCGATACGTTTGAGACATGATGGAACCACCGGACTCTTAAGAGTTGTCTAAGGTGTCTCTGTTGCAACTTGTTCAATGCGTTCATGTGTCGGCGGTAAGGCACCCAGGTTTCGCTCCCATATATCATGGTGGGGATTATAATTGCTCGGTATACTGCAAGTTTTGTTTTTGTACTCAAGTATGATTGTAGAAAACCCTGTCTTTTAATTTCCAGAATGCCCTTGAGGCGCTACTAATCCTGTGCTGAATTTCAGAGTCAATATTGGCCTTTTCCGAAATCAAACTGCCAAGGTAATTGAATTCCGCCACATATTCCAATAGTTCTTCTCCGATTTTTATAGCATTGTTGTGATCTTCCGGGTGAGTGCACATGATTTTAGTTTTGTCGATGTTTAGCTTAAGGCTCAAAGCCTCGTATGCCCAGGTATATGTGTTCAACATTTCTTGTAATTGTTGTACCGTGTTTGCAACTAGAGTGCAGTCGTCAGCGTATTGAAGTTCTGTGATAAATTTTGTACGTGTTTTTGCCCTGAGTCTTTTTATGTTGAACAGACCGCCGTCATATCAGTATCTAATGCCCAATCCTCTCTCCTGCAGTTTGCTGTCCACTATAATGGAGAGCGCTGCCATGAATATGTTGAATAGGAGAGGCGCTAAGACACATCCCTGCCTAACTCCTGTATTTGTTAGGAATGGGTCTCTCAGTGATCCATGATGTGACACTCTTGACTTGTTGTTTTGGAGGCTTTTACACACTGTAAGAAATTTGTTGGGTACTCCGAAC